GCAGTTAAAATGCAGCTGCTGGGTCCTACCCTGGACTTCTGAATTCCGCATGTCTGACGTGAGGCCTCCAGACTACTTGTGTTTCTGGAAAATTCACTGACAACACTGATGCTGTTTGTCTGGGCATCATGCACTGCTTTCTCAGCTGCTTCTTTGGGAGTCAAAGATGGAGCTTAGAGCAATTCAAACCCTAATTATTAGAGTCTGCTGAGTTTAGCAGCTGCCGAGAATTAGAGTTCCTCGCCCTTCCTTAACTCTCCCTTATTTATTGAAAATAAATAGAGAGGGGTTTTTTTTTTTCATTTTTAACTCTGTTTTCCTACCCATTTACTGTGCTCAAATGAAATGACAAAACCACTAGAAGATGACAGACTTGTTTCTATGGATCATTGGCCACAGACAATTTGAGAGCTGTACTTTCCTGGAACTACAAACTCATGATTAATTTTAACTCATGAAATATTGGGCACGGCTCGGGTTTAGGCCTGATCCTACACAATCTTTGAAAATCGACTTCTAGCTCTGTTACAAGTACTAGACTTGCTCACCGTGAACGATGTAGAAAATTCAGCCACATGTGGCTCGTGGTTACTGGAGTAAATGGTGCCGGCCTGAGGATTGTTCTGGAAATGGGAAGATGAAGTGAGAAGTGAAGGAAATAGAAAGGTAGAGAGGGTTAGAAGAGGGAGATCAAATACCTGCCTGACCTCAAGATGGGTCTGAGTGTCTACCATGAAGTGAAAGCGAAAGCAAGTTTTGAGACCCAAGCGTGCAAAGACACTCCGCGGAGCGGTCAAGGTGTTGACCACAAGTTTGGGGGAAAATGGATGCCTAGATCCTGACACTTGTTGTGAGCTCAGACTTAAGCCCTTGGTGAACGCAGAGGAGGTGCCAGGTTTTGTAGATGGAGTCCACATGGGAGAAGGATTTGTGCCAGGGGTCAGAGACAACAGACCAAATTAAGCCACTCACGGAGCAGCTGAGTAGTTGCAACCAACCTTAGAATTTACAAAAGAACTATGTGACTGTCACTGCTACTGGGGCGTGTGTGTGTGTGTGTGTGTGTGTGTGTGTGTGTGTGTGTGTGTGTGTGTGTGTGGTGGTATTGTCTTCCCCAAAATTTTGCGCACTCTAATAAACTTATCTGGGGTCAGAGTACAGAACAGCCACAATATTAACCATAGAGGTTAGGCAGTGGTAGCACACGTCTTTAATCCTAGCATTCCAGAGGCAGAGATCTGCCTGGATTTCTGTGTGTTCAAGGATACAGCCAAGCATGGTGACTCACGCCTTTAATCCCAGGCAGTAATGGCAGGAGGCAGAAAGGTATTTAAGGCGTGAGTACGAGGAACTATAGCTAGCTAAGCTTTTAGGCTTTCCAGCAACAGTTCAGCTGAGATTCATTCTGGATGAGGACTCAGAGGCTTCCAGTTTGAGGAAACAGGATCAGCTGAGGAATTGGCGAGGTGAGGTGGCTGTGCCTTGTTCTGTTTCTCTGATCTTCCAGCATTCACCCCAGTACCTGGCTTCAGGTTTGTTCTTATTAATAAGACCATTTAAGATTCGTGCTCTGTGTGTGTGTGTGTGTGTGTGTGTGTGTGTGTGTGTGTGTGTCACTCTCATGGGTCAGTTTTCTCCTTCGACCTTGTTCACAGAGTCTCCGCTGCTCTGCACTCTCTGAGCTAGCTGACTCTAAAGCTTCCAGGCGGTTCTCTTCTCATCGCCTCCAATGATGCCTTAGGAATGCTGGGATTACAGATGTGAGCTATCACATCTAGACTATCTAGCTTTTTCTTGTGAGCTCCAGGACAGAACTAAGGTCATCAGCTTGGAAGCCAAGGTCTTTTGGCCTCCTGAGCCATGTCACTGGCCCCTGTCTGGGTCTTTTCTGCTGCCGTCTCAGAAAAGAAAGAGAAAGGTGGGTTTCCTAATAATGGGTTGAAGAGGAATTTGAGGAGAAGGTGGAAACCACTCTATGCCTTGGGATTCTGCCTGTAGTTTTAACGGGTTAGGACTAAGCCTGACTTTCATCACTGCAGGGTCTTCACAGCACATTCTCCAATCCTCTCAGACGTCGACACTTAGCGGGGTCGCTAATGTGTTTTATGGGTGGCGTCATGGCGCCACTGTTTGCATAACCTGATGCAGTGGCTCTCAAAGCTATGTGCCATTTGAGCGTGGGATGGTCTCTCCTTTTCATCTACAGGGCTGGCTTCCTGTTCATCTCTGTTTGCAATGATAATCTATTATGGATAAAAGTCTCCCCCTTTTCAGTTCCAACACCTGGTATTCTGGATGAACAATCTCATTCACCAGAAGAGGCTCAATTGTATTACCTCTTACGCAGATCTCCTCTCCATAGGGTATGGTTCAGATGAGTGGATAAGATGCTGAGCTGGGAAACATTAGAGCCGTGGTCTGTTTTTAGCTCTGCTTCTATTTTGGTTTTAATTTTCTCCTTTATTATTATAAATAATAATCACAATAAAATATTACCACTTATTGAATGATATTAATAGCTTCCTCCCCCCCCCCCCCCCAGAGACAGTAGAGCATAGTAAAGATGGGTTTGAATCCCGGCACATTTTGCTTTATTAGCTTGTGATCTTGGGTGAAGTATTGAAAAAATCTATGGGCCTTAATTTTTTTTTTAATTCGTCAAATTAGTCTGTGGCTTCTAATTAAATGAGGGACTATTTATATTGATATTATATACTGATAGACTTGAAACTATGTCTTTATATAACAAATGCCATTTTGAAGTCTGTTAAAAATAAGTAAATAAAATGAACGACTAGGTTCTTTCTATCTCCCATAATTCCTCAGAGCTGACTAGACTTAGTCCTTCTTGCATACTGCCTTTAAACACTAGCATCAACGTTGCAAGGAAATAGTTAGTGTGGGACATTTAATACCTGAAGTAACAGATGCTGAGAGGTGGAATTGTTCGGTCTGTCACAGCTGTTGAGTGAAGGAGCCAGAATCACTCCCAGGCTTCTGCTGGCAAGTAGCCCTTGCCAGGTTTAAAGCCCCGGATTTGATCAGTGGTTGCCAAATGCAAATGATCGAGCCAAACAGTCATGGGGGATTGTTTAATAATGAACACATACAAATGTTTTAGGTAAGGCTCTCGTGTGTATAAACAGCTTGATTAAAAAAATATATTGCAAAGTTAATGGGCTCAGGCTAGATAAAGCAGATCACTGCAAATTTGAGATAAGGGCAGAAAAGGGCTGTTGGCTGTTTTGTTATTTTCCGATCAATCAGCACATTTGAAGATTCGGCATCGTTTCCAGGTAACCTCTCTTTCTGGTCCAGTTCAGGAAAGAGCTTGTCAAGTTCTTTGCTAGGTGTGCTGTCCCAGGCTAATTTCATATCTTCTAACCACAAGGAAAAGGTAGACATGCTGTTGTCAATCACCATGATACTTTTCAGAATCTGTTCACGTTGAAACCATACTGAGCCGCTTATCATGGCGGTTTTCTAGAACCATTTATGGAAGGCTAGGACCGCCATCACTCACAGCATCCACTGGCTCTCAGTGACTCTTAAAACTTGGTGGTTATCATTAACGTAGTGAGATGTCTCATAGACTGCCCAGCAATGTGACTGATCATTTGCTTTCTGGTCACGTTAAAGGATTTTGTAGCCTAAACGCAGAATGATACATGTTTTTACCACTGCCCTCCTAGATTAAGACCCCCTCTTTCAGTGTTGGCTTTATGCTTGTCTTCCACATGTAGACACCATTAGAGAAGGTAGATGGGGGGTCTGGGGGAAGAGTAAGAAGAGGGTCCGCTCATGCAAAGAATGATCATCCCTCTTGTTGGCTTAGGAAACTAATTGAGATCAGTCTTGTGTAGCACATGGTAACTCCCTCATTCTAAGGCAAGAAGGGAAGTTGTTTAAAAGTCAGTTCTGTGTAAATTCTTCAGAAGAATTCAACAGGGCACTCCCAGGGGACCACCCAGGATGGGGGGTGGAGCCTATGGAGGGGATGGTGTACTTCCCATGGTATCACGTAAAGGGAACACACTGTTGCAAGGAGTGTAAGTGGCATTCACAGCGTCTCTACTCCTAGATGTTATGAGTGACGGGCAGCTATGTGAGAAGTGTCATAGCACCCCCACGTTTGACCCATAGGCACAACCCAAAGAGTGGACCATTGCTAATTTGGAACCCTGAAGTCATAGTCTGGTGTGAGAGAGTCACCTAAAACCAGTGTCTTAAGAACATTTTAGCATCTATGAATTTAGAATTATAACCTGTATAGTAATCTGCTTGTCAAGATTTTCTCATGGAATCACAGCTGGGTCATAGCATCCTAGTGAGATCTCATAGACTGGAGTCTTGGCATGCCTCTGGTATTCAGTTGACCTAAAAATAAAGCAAAACAGAGGCTGTCAAATATTTTCTGTGAAGGACCAGATGTTAAATATTTTAGAGTGATTCCTCTGATATAATTCTCCAACCCTGTTGATGTTTTGACATCGTGCAAAGGTAGCCATAGACAATTATAAATTAAGGAGTATGGTGATGTTCCAATAAAGCTTTATTTATAAAACATATTTATCTGTCTGTTTTCCAGCCCCTGGGGGGTAGGATTGTAGAGTGTCCCAGAAGGGATCACTGAGGACTGACTGCTGCGATGAGCTGATATAAAAATAGCAAGACAAAAGGACAGAGTGGAGGGGAAAACAGTGGTTTTCATAAGATGCAGAATATAGAAGATAGCATTTGATACTGAAAAATAGACTCGTGTATGAAAGAACAGGGTAAAGGCGGGAAAAACAAGTATGTTGGTGCAGTTGGAACAGAGAGAACGTAGGAAGTGGCTAAAGGGCTTCTTGGTGGCTGAGATTTTTCTTGCCAAGATTAAAGGAGGAATAGCTGTGCAAATGTTTTGCGGGACCATACAAATGCCAGCGTGTTGTTTACTAACCTAAAGACACAGCACTATGCTATCCTATGCTAATGTGTTTTTCTTTTTCTTTTCTCAGGTATGTCTTGGAAAGCTACTCAGGTACTTTCTTTTTTTTTCCTAGCATTACATGGCTTGATCTACATTTTAAATGGAGGACAGTCCAGGGTGGCTGAGCTGAGGAGGGAGGGCGATGACTGATAAAGAGGCTGCTTCAGCCACAGTCATGTGAGTGACAGATGATGAGACAAGGCACCGGAGCAGCAGCCATGGGAGTAGAGAGGGTGGGACTAACGAGATAGCTGGGAGGCTAGCTGTCGTCACTTGATGACAGTTTGGTGGCGTGGGAAGACATGAAGCCCGGCATTCTTCAGTGAGGACCAGCTGTTTTGTTTGGGCCATTAGGTGTATTTTGAAAGTATGTGTTAAGAGAAGGAGCCCAGCACTGTTCAGTTATGATCTGGCCTGTGACAGTCAAGAAAGTAAAGCCACAGGACACAGCAAAGGTGTAAACTGTTTGGGGTTATTGAGAGCATGGTGTTTAGAAGAAGCAGTGACCGAGGTCTAAACCATTAGATCGAGGGTATAGCAAGCGCCAGCCTCCTGAGGTATAAAAGACACCCATCAGTTTCTAGGGTATGAAGGAGAGTGAGAGGGTTTTCATCTAAGCCTCCCACCCCTGACCTTCCAGCTCTAAGAGTCACAGAACTCCCCCTAACCTTGAACATGCACAGGAAGACACTCTTGTCTGAAATTAACCTTTGCTTTATTATCATAGTAAAAGACATGTCCCAAAGAGGAGTTGGCACAAATCTAGGCACATTTTGAGGCATGTACCCAGTGGCAGATGTATACCGAAAGTCTGCCCTCTGTTGCAAAAAAAAATCATGAATATTCAAACCCTTTGGAGGGAAGATGCATGAATATTCAAAGTCTTCTTCATAAGATGATTATATGCACCTACATTCCTGGCTCCCCTACCTACAGAGCAGTCCCCTGTGTTCTCTGCTGTAGTACACTTTCTCCTCAGCCGTTGCTGAGTCTGTGCTACAGGAGACAAAGGAGCCACCTAGTCTGTGACAGGTTTTTTCCTGCAGTTATGCATAAACATGGAACAGAGCAGGTATGGCAGACCTCTGCCATAACTGGTTACGCTCCCGATGACTGCGGAGAACAGGAAGTCTAGAGGAATAGGCTCCCCGATTTTCATTTCCTGCTTGTTGAGCAGGGAGAGGCCTCTGACCTGGTCAGTTCGGAGCATCGATCCTTCTGTAGGTCAGCACCTTTGGCTTTTCAAGTGAGCAGGTCTTTGTCTTAATCAATGAAATGTATATATATATATATAAAAATACAGCACTGCTTTCTATGGTCACACTGCATAGTGTGGTTGAGGTAGGATTTGATCCAGGGGATGAATGATCATCTTTCCTGTGGTAGTTTTAAAGTATTTGGCCCCCATAAGCCCATAGGGAGTGGCCCTATTAGGAGGTGTGGCTTTGTTGGAATGGGTATTGTCTTGTTGGAGGAAGTGTGCCATTGTATGGGTGGGCTCTGAGGTTTCCTATGCTCAGGATACCACCCAGGGAGTCAGTTGACTTCCTGTTCTCTGCAAGCCAAGATGTAGCCAGCACCACATCTGCCTGCATGCCACCATGTTCCCCACCGTGATGATAATGGACTGGACCTCTGTAACTGTAAGCGAGCCAGCCCAATTAAATGTTTTCTTTATAAGAGTTGCTGTGGTCATGGTATCTCTTCACAGTAATGAAAACCCTGACTAAGATGTTCCCCTCCCCAGATCACACCAATCCACCTCCCCTACTGCTAGCATATGATTATGTTAGTGACTGTTTTCACTGCTCTGGTCAAATACCTGAGAAAAAGCAGTTTAAAGGTGGAAGGATTTATTTAGGCTTACAGTTTGACAAGATATGCTCCATCAAAGGGGGACAAGCCCATGCAGGAGCTGAGGTGGCTGGTCACATTTGTATCACTAGCCAAGAATCAGAAAGCAGACAGAAAGTGGGGATGGGCTAGCAAATCTCAAGTGACTCACTTCCTCCAGTAGGGCTTCATTTCCTAAGTTTCCAGACCTTTTAAAATAGGACCAACAGCTGGGGAACCAAGCTTTCCAACCCATGATCCTTTGGGGGGCATTTCACATTCAAACCACAATAGTGGTGAAGGGCTGGCCTCTGGTATCTTCCCTCTGTAATGCACCTTGGGTGCTTCCAAAGCACAGGTCAATTTTCTGTGCTTCAGTTCCCCCAAATGTAACGTTACCTTCCCCAAAGACTGATTATGAGGTATATAAACAAGTTAATATATGGGCAGCACTTGAAATGCTGACTGACCAGTAATAAGCACTGTGTAAATATTACAACGGGCTGCTAAAGGCTGTAAGGCAGATGGGTTCCAACCCATGGGGCCTCTGACTTCATGAGTTGCTGTCTCCTTCTCCTTTGCTGGCCTCTCACTGGTGGGCCTAACATCTGCTCTCTGGAATGGAACAGAGGGGAGATATTTCTGAGGCCTTTAGTGGGGGGACACTTGGATTTCTGATTGCTGATCTTGGCTGTGTTAGATTTGCTATTTCTGCAGGACCAGAGCACTGCCATTCAAGTGACTTTTGGCCTTTCTTATTGACTAATTGAAGCAAAAGATAAATTTCTCCTAAATCGCTAGCAAACAGAAGGATGAGTCACCTCTTGGCTGGATTTGAGTCCAGCTGGGCAGATGCCTGTGCTGTGTGCTCTTGGTGGGCATTACAAGAGAGAATGAGGTGATGGGGATGTAGTTTTTAGGGGGGAAGTGCAATTACCACTTAGTGTTTTCCTGAGATTCTTTCATTTAAAATGAAGAGTTAGAAACAAAGGCAAAATGATCATGCTGTATAGATATAAGGAACAGAATTCATCAAGGAGAGAGAGAGAGAGAGAGAGAGAGAGAGAGAGAGAGAGAGAGAGAGAGAGAGAGAGAGAGAGAGAGAGACTGTGCACACTCTGTAAGCATTTGAAACATACCGTGTGGCCTGTAAGATAAATAAAGCTGATTTATCATTCATGTTCCCAAGATCTAATTCTGTACCATCTCCAAAAGTAAATAAGTAAAAAACCAAAATAGAAGTGTAGATGATCCCTTCTCAGGACTCACTTGCCTCTGTAAATGAGTGTGTGAGTGTGCCGGAGAAATGATCGAGGTGGGGGCTCACCATTGTTGGTAGGGATTTGAGTGTAAGTGAGTCGATCGGAATGTGTCCGGCAATGATTTGTATGCACCTAGGTCTGGGTGTATGCTGCCATGCTGGGTGGCCTAGGGGGTGCAGATTCGGTTATAGTAGCGAGACTTTGTCCCCTTAAGACGAGAAGGCACAATTAATACTCAGAAGTGCTTTGAGAGGAAGACACTAAACATAAACCAGTCTTGAGAAAAAGAGACTGAAGAATTTTAGAAAAACGTAAAGCTTTAAAGGAGAAAAAGGAAGTGGCTTCTTGGGAGAGATGAAGTTGGGGTGAGTCTAGAAGCATGCTTTTGTTGAATGTCTTAAACATTTACTTATCAACCATATTAATCGAACAGCAGAAAACAAAACAAAACAAGCAGTCCTTTGTTTTTTTATCTGACTGATTTTTCCTCTGCACGATTGCAGGCCACATGATGCCATCCATTGGTTGAAACTGGGATTGTGGATCTGCAGGTGAAGCGGATGTAAGATTAGAGATTGGAGCTGGGGACAATCTCTTCCACTGAAGGTGAAGTTTGGGCCAATTTTATATTAACGTTCACATCTGAAATAAGGGCGGGGGGGATGTTTGCCAACATCGCGTAGGCAGATGTAACGTGTACCTGGAGTTTTCCTGCCTGGCCCACAGTCAGGGCAAATCTCTCTCACCTGCCAGTCCCACAGCCACTCAGACCCGACCAAGTAAACACAGAGACTTGTATTGGTTTCAAACTGTATGGCCATGGCAGGCTTCTTGCTAACTGTTCTTTCAGCTTAAATTAATCCATTTTTATAAATCTATACCTTGCCACATGGCTCGTGGCTTACCGGCATCTTCACATGCTGTTTCTCATCGTGGCGGCTGGCAGTGTCTCTCTGACTCAGCCTTCCACTTCCCAGCTTTATTCTCCTCCTTGTCCCGCCTACACTTCCTGCTTAGCCAATGGCCAATCAGTGTTTTATTTATTAACTAATTAGCAACACATTTGCCATACAGAACATTCCACAGCAGTAACGTACCTCACACATATTACTGAGAAGAGATACAGATGTGAATCTGGCAGCTGCAATGGGTTTTCTTTCCTGGATCAAAGATAGAATGCTAATTATCAGTGGAGTTTCTGGAGACTATGGGATTTTGTTGTCTCACAAAACTGCAGACTCAATTCATTTCCTCTCATGTCCCCAGCCTTCCAGTAACAACATGTCCTGGCTCTCTAAAAGGACTGATCTGTGAGACAGCAGACTGAGAACTGATTGCTTTGAGAATGCTGGTGGGCTTTTGTGTTTTGTTTGCCAGGTTTTTTTGATTGATTTTTGGTTTAGATATTAGCATTTAGCTACTTAAGAAAGCACAAAAACATTCTTGGCTGTGGAATACATATTAAAATCTGACATCCTTAAAGGGATGTTTATCTTCCTGTGTGCATGCTTATTTTTGTGTTAAACACGGAGTAAGGAACTGTTAGCCCATCAACATTTTGTTGTTATCGTTTTGGTTACACATTCTCAGTGAAGCTATTGATACTTCGGTAGAATCGGTAGGCTTAGCTTTGAGTGGACATACATAATCCTACTTCGTTCAGCAAAGAAATTCAATACAGACATCTCTCTGGGCTGGAGAGATGAAGAAAGTTCGCTGCTTTTCCAGAGAATCCAAGTTCAGTTTCCAACATCCATGTCTAGTCATTCACAACCCCTTGCGCTCACATGGCAATACACACACACACACACACACTTATACAGACAGATACATACACACAGACATACTTATACACATACACCTACACACACACATGCACACACACTGACATACATACACAGACACATACATTAAAACAGAGAGAGTACTAACATATTATTAATCTCTCTATATATCCAAATATTTTATCTTTTCCTTTCCTTCTGTTCTGAACTTAATCAATAAAGCAGGAGTGGCAATTTCATGGAAACTGAGGCATGGACTTGGAGTGGTTGAGATATTTAAAATTTATATTTTCAATCTCTTGATAAAACAAAGCTATTGGAATTCTGACTTGGTGAGGTGAATGGGTGTCATACACACCTGACTCTATGTGGGAAGCCAGATTATAGATTATTCTGTTTGAAAATAAGCTTAAAATGCGTGCATGTCTAACTCCAATATAATGTGGGTGTACTGAAAAGCAAACACTATGGAAATGAGTAAAAGCAAAAGGAATTGCTCAGGATTTGGAAGGGTAACAGACTGGGCAGAGGTCTTGACGTTCATTGGGCTCTGCATTTTATTCTACTCTTTTTCCTGTTAGCTGTCTTAGATTACAGTTACAGAAGGTTGTGAGCTACCATGTGGGTGCTGGGAATTGATCTCAGGACCTCTGAAAGAGCAGCCAATGCTCTTATGTGCTCCAGCCCCATCGTTGACCATTTTTATGCTTTCATATTACTCAGTTATTTCACAGGTGTCTTTGAGAGGGAAAGTTTTTAAATATTTGATTGCTGTGAGTAGAAAGAGTTCCGGTTCTGGAACCCGGCAGAGCAGACGTCAAGTCTCCGGTATTCAGAGGAATGTATGTCTCAGACTGGCCAAGAAAATGTAACTCTATAGCCTTCAGTTTCCGAAGCAGTATGGAAGGGAATTCCCTCCACATATAGTTTCTGTGAGACTATAGTTGTAAAATCTTTTAAAACTTGTATGTATTTATTTATTTTTCTTTGTGGTACTGGAATTCAGTTTGAGAACCTGGGCAGCACTCAACCACGGGGTGCATCCCAGCCCTGAGATAGCAGTTTAACAGAGAAAACAAAATCCAAATTTAAGAACAGATCAATGCAGTATATTTAAGCTTATGTTTCATAATGTCATTGAACCTTAGAACTTTGTCCAAATCTTGGAAACTTAGCATGTCCTCTGTCGAGGGTTTGGGTCTTTGCTTTACCATCTGCTTTGAGAGCAGGCGTTCCCTAGGTGGAGATGTGACCTCACCATCTTTGTGTCCTAATGTATTGTCTACTAAAACATGGTCTCCAAGAAGGGTTGATTGGAGGACAAATGTTCCATGATCTAATTGGTGTGGGAAATGCTTCCTACATCGTATGCGCCCATCTAAGGGCTTTTTAACTTTTTGTAGCTCATGGCTGTGCATGAAAATCCCTCTGGATGGAAGTCTTATGCTGTTTACATCAATTTTTCTCAGCTTATTCGATAAGGGAGAATCACCTTTGTTTTTTAATAACATCTCTTAGCATCCAACATGTCTCTCAAGTTATGTATACAGGACAGGAAGTCAACAGACGGGTACATTCCATTCTGCTCTACAGAGTTCTAGTGCCTTTCAGATGATGCATTTTAGATAAACTTTGATACTATGTAGCCCCGCCCCTGATTCATGTTGCCAACATTTGTTCACTATTTATTCAACAAATACATTTCCCTGTATTTTCTAAATGTGGGAGGAAGAAGACGAGAATTATTATTTTAAATTTATCAAAAGCCCCTTGGGGGGAAAAATCTTATTCCAAACAGCTATTTAATTCTGTCTACATTAAATAGATTTAATTTTTCACATTATTTCAAGAACCCCCCCAGGCTTCTAGAAAGATAATTGAGTTTCACATGCCAAATGCACCAACTTGAATTGAAGCATCAATTAATACAATAGCAACAACTGTAAAGACAATGGCAACCTCTGCTCTTTTCAAATGAGTTTGGGTTGAATGAAGTTTACTTTGAAAAGCAAGGTTCCATTTGGTGATACATTTAAAAAAAAACAAACCCATCCAACACTGAGTTTTTTTTTAAGATTTATTTATTATGTATACAGAAGAGGGTGCCAAATCTCATTACAGATGTTTGTAAGCCACTATGTGGGTGCTGGGAATTGAACTCGGGACCTCTGGAAGAGCAGTCGGTGCTCTTAACCTCTTAGTCATCTCTCCATCCCAACATTGAATTCTTAAATGCTAGAATAACATCTGTCCTGATTGTTTTTTCTCTAGTGGGAACAGTACAAAGATAAAGGTATTCCCAGCAATGAGATTCCACCATGTAAAAATGCAGCATGCTAAGCATGAAAAGTGTGGTCAGAAATCTGAATGATAGAGATTATTCTGAAAAGCATCTTCCTCCTCATAGTATTTGCTCATTGAAACTATAGCTTGACCTGTCCTCAGTGACCCAGCTACAGCTTCTTTTAGTCTTCTGTTGACAAACGGTCTAGCATTGCGGTTTTGATCAGCATCTCATGTGTCTTCCACCAGTGTGCATTCTCTGTAAGCTCTCTCCTTGACATCCTCTTTGTGCTATCCAAGTTCTGTCTGAAAGTGGCCTCCTTTGTCAATCTATATGTGTGTGTGTGTGTGTGTGTGTGTGTGTGTGTGTGTGTGTGTGTGAAAATGGCTTCCTGCCAGTCATTCTTACTTTTACTGACACACTAACACACCATTCTTTCTTGAGAAATCAAGTTCCATAAAAACATTCCATGCTGTCTGACAGCGTGCTTTCAAACTGTGATTCAGGCACGTTGTTTGACTTTGTGTAGTCTGTAATGCAGTTAATTAGTATTGCTTCTTTGTCCTATGGTCTTAGTGTTTTAACCATAATGCATTGTTGCTAGGTTATTTTCTGAACCTTTCTATTTGGGGGCTCAAATGACTCTTGTGCTTGGCTCTGTTGTGGGATATTTGTACACTGTGTGAAGATGTATTGCTGTGATGGGTGTAATAAAAAGCTGAACGGCCAATAGCTGGACAGGGGAGGATAGGTGGGACTTCCAGGCAGCGAGAGAACTCTGGGGAGGAGAAAGGCGGAGTTGCCAACTGGACACAGACACAGAGGAAGAAGGATGGGCAGTAAGAGATGAGATAATGAGCCACGTGGAAGAACTTTGATTAAAAAATAAGGGTTAATTTAAGTTATAAGAACTAGTTAGGAACAAGCATAAGCTAATACCAAGCATTCATAATTAATAACAAGTCTGTATCATTATTTGTGAGCTTGTGGTCCCAATGAGAAAGTACAAGTACATGACTGTCCTTTGTTATTTTGTTTTGGTTTTGAGACAAGTCTCACTGTTTAGCTAGCTCTGACTGGTCTGGAACTCACTATGTAGACCAGTTTTGATACTCACGGATCTCTACCTGGCTCTGCTTCCTGAGTGCTGGGATTAAAGGAATATGCCACCACACCTGGCTTCTGCTGCAGTTTTGCTGAATTTTTTTAAAATAATATTAGCTTTTATCTCATTTCCTTCTAACTCATGGATTCTTAGATTGAGTCTCTTGATTATGTTCCAAAGTTCTTATGAGTTGTAGTAATGCTTATTTAGTTTAATTTATATGAAATGGAGTATTTCCTCAATCCTATCTTATATCTCTAATGTTCCTTCTTCTACTTGACCTAGCTTATTGGTGAAGCTTTCTACTTTGTTTTTAATTAACTTCAGTTTTCCATTTTTTCCCCCCTAGAACTCCAATTTTTGCTCAAATTTTTTTTACCAAAGATGATGCTTTTCTTATTAATCACCAACTTTTATATCCAGGTCTTAAATT